ATAATAAGCGCTAATAAAAATTGTTCGTTTGCTCTTATTAATTAAAAAAAAAGTCTTTGATATTAATGTCGTAAGTACACAAAACTATAAAAAAAATACGATCGCTAAAACAGATTTATTGTACATTCTTCTGTCGTTTTTTAATGATCCAGTTTATATGAATTTTTAATCAGTATTTGTGCGATTGCTATTCCGTAAACATCAAAGACACCACCGATTTTTACAAGATCCACATAAACCGTGTTACTTACCGAGAATGATTTTATATGCATGTAAATTTACACAGTCGCTGTGACGTTGCGTGTAGTTACTGTCAAATATGTTAAGTGTAAACTTTTAAACTCGCTGGTTAAAACGTGCCAGGTGTCGTATAAACAAGAATTTGTAACAGAGTTACCAACGTCCCCCGCCCCGGGAGTTTTATATGAAGCATAAAATTGTGCTATTTCAAAAGATTGAGGTATGGATCTCAGGACATTCAGTCCAAAATTATGATTCAATGCTAGATCTGCAAATGTAACAATAAATTTGTTAAAAAAAAAAAAATGAAACACGGAATTTAAAATCTATCATGTTAAGCTTTGACCTCTAAGTGTGAACTTGACCTTGGAGGTAGGGGAGCAGGTGTTATTATTGTGACTATTTGTGCCAAGTTATTTCAAAATCCCTTGAACTATGAAGAAGTTCTAGATTCAACACAAAATATACCCTATAACAGACTATGTTAATTTTTGACCTCTAAGTGTGACCTTGACCTTGGAGGTAGGGATGCAGGTGTTGCGCATGACACATCCTCTTATTATAGTGACTATTTGTGCGAAATATTTTCACAATCCTTTGATCTATGAAAAAATTATAGACCTGACACAAAATATACCCTGTAACAGACTATGTAAGTATTTGACCTCCAAGTGTGACCTTGACCTTGGAGGTAGGTGATCGGTTTTTGCGCATGACACATCATCTGATTATTGTTAACAATTATGGCAAGTGCTTCAAAAGTCCTTCATAGATAAGAAAGTTATGGACTGGACACGACATATACCCTCAAATAGACAATGTTGACCTTGAATGAACAAGTACGACCTTGACCCTGAAGGTACGGGTCTGGTTGTTGCGCGTGACACATCGTCTTATTATAACAAACATTTGTGCCAAGTTATCTCAAATTCCTTTGATAAATGACAAAGTTATGGACCGGACACGTAATATACCCTGTAACAGACTATGTTAATATTTGACCTCCAAGTGTGACCTTGACGTTGAAGGTAGGCAACTGGTTTTTGCGCATGACACATCGTCTGATTATTATGAACAATTATGGCAAGTATTTACAAAAACCCTGCATAGATAAGAAAGTTATGGACCGGACACGAAATATAGCCTGTAACAGACTATGTTAAATATTTGACCTCCAAGTGTGACCTTGACCTTGAAGGTAGGTGACTGCTTTTTCCGCATGACACATCGTCTGATAATTGTGAACAATTATGGCAAGTATTACAAAATCCTTCATAGATAAGAAAGTTATGGACCGGACACGAAATAATACCCTGTAACAGACTATGTTAATATTTGACTCCAAGTGTGACCTTGACTTGAAGGTAGGTGACTGGTTTTAGCGCATGACACATCGTCTGATTATTGTCAACAATTATGGCAAGTATTTACAAAATCCCTTCATAGATAAGAAAAGTTATGACCGGACACGACATATACCCTCAAATAGGCAATTTTTGACCTTGAATGAGCAAGTGTGACCCTTGACCCTGAAGGTAGGGGTCTGGTTGTTGCGCATGACACATCGTCTTATTATAATAACATTTGTGCCAAGTTATTTCAAATTCCTTTCAATAAATGAAAAGTTATGGACCGGACACGAAAGTGTGACGGACGGACAGACGGACGGACGGACGGAGCCTATTTCTATATCCCCCTTTTTTCTTCGAAAAGGCGGGGGACAATTATGCGATGTTTACATCGGCGAATTACAGGGGCATTGTGTCCAATGGAGGTGCATATCATGTCACATAAATGTGTTAATTGTAGTCAATTATCTGCAGTTACTGTGCTGTATTAGAGTTATACCCAGAGGCAAGGATTAAATTAATTGACAACTGCTGTGTGACAAGTAAAGATATGTACATGTTGTAAGTAAAAATGTTCGGCGATTAAGATTACTTTGCATTAGGTTACTGAATTTTTTTTTTACAAGAAAACAAAAATCCACGAATTTAAGAACCCACGAAAATGCCCGTTTTGATAAAACCACGAACTTTCATGCCCACGAATATAAGTGAATTCGCAGTATTATCTACTTGTAAAGATGTAAATTGTATGTATAAATGGATCAAATATAAACCAATTTATCTTGGTGACTTTACACTTTAAAAGACTTATCTTTATCTTCCAACTAATATTTCCCACACAGGACTAAAACAATAAAAGAAAACAAATGGGTAATCTAAGAAAATAATAAATTTTCAACCAATGAGATTTAAAAGTTGATGGGTCTAAATTGGGCACATTTTCCATAAATATTTCAAATATTGATAAATATACTAGAAAACATGAAATGAGCTGCGTCACAACAAAACCAATGTAATGCGTTTGCGACCAGCATGGATCCAGACCAGCCTGTGCTTCCGTGCAGTCTGATCAGGATCCATGCTGTTCACTTACCAACTCTATTACAAGTAGAGAAACTGATAGCGAACAGCATGGATCCATGCTGGTCGCAAACAAACTTTGTTGGTTTTTTCATGACACGGCTCAAATGTTATTATCTGAACATTCTTATTATATACTGGTTGAGAAAAATATGTTGATTAAGTTGTTATTGATTTAGAATGAACATTTATATGATGCATAATAATATTTTGATCTAGAACATTTTATTATCTGCTAAACAAATATATGTAAAATTAGATCATCTATTTCATACTTGCCCACAACATCTATATATAACTCCTTTGTGGCTTGATGTTATGTTTCATACTAAATCATAACTAAATAATAGATAATTTCTTGAATTACAGACCTTCTATTATAGACCAATTCACTATCAATACATAAATCAAAATGCTCTTAAAGCACAAGTTTCAGATAGCATTACTGACACAGATATTATTGCTTTATATCATTGTTATACCTTGATTACATTAAAATCTGGTATAATCATATTCACACCACTTATGTCTCACAGTTCAATACAACACACAAACTATATAGAATGTTAGTTCCCCTGCTGCATGACTTGATCAGTGACATAATTTGAGCCGCGTCATGACAAAACCAACATAAAGCATTTGCGACCAGCATGGATCCAGACCAGCCTGCGCATCCACGCAGTCTGATCAGGATCCATGCTGTTCGCTTACAAACCCTATTACAAGAAAGGAAACTGATAGCGAACAGCATGGATCCTGATCAGACTGCGCGGATGAGCAGGCTGGTCTGGATCCATGCTAGTCGCAAATGCATAACGTTGGTTTTATCGTGACGTGGCTCATATTTGTTTGTTGGTAATATATCACCAGTAAAAAAAGAATTGTAGGCTTAACTATTACCTTATTACTTCAAGTTTTGCTGTCCACAAAAACATGTCTTCAAAACAAGTGAAGGCATAACAAATTTACTATATACAAATTATCTATACAATTTTCACAAGTAATAAGGTTGATGGCCATCAAGATTTTCATCAACTAAATGGACAGAATATCTTAACACTGGTCTGTAAATATCTTAATACCCTTTTTTTTTTCTTTTCAAAAGATTTGCCTATGTTTGTTTTTAAAGAAAAAACAAAGTTCACTGAAATTTCTAAAATTAGCCTGAAAAGAAGTCATCTATGTACAAAATAAATGTTTCTCAAACAAACTGACTAAAGATAGGAGAACATCGTTTAAAGAAAGTTTATTTGTACGAGTTGTAACAAAGATTCAAGCTGACTAGCTAAAAGACAAACACAAGGGTTAACTAATTACATCTAATACAACATAAACAACCATGCTAGAATGTTGTCAAGAGTTTTTTATACACTGAGGATTTTCACTGTGAGTATTTCTATCTATAGGTAAAACCTCTATATTGTGTTATATATACACAAACATATATTGTGTTATATATATACACAAACATATATTCTGTTATATATACACACAAACATATTTTCTGTTATATATACACACAAACATATATTGTGTTATATATACACACAAACATATATTGTGTTATATATATACACAAACATATATTGTGTTATATATATACATACACAAACATATATTGTGTTATATATACACACAAACATATATTGTGTTATATACACAAAAACATATATTGTGTTATATATACACACAAACATATATTGTGTTATATATACACACAAACATATATTGTGTTATATATACACACACACAAACATATATTGTGTTATATATACACACAAACATATATTGTGTTATATATACACACAAACATATATTGTGTTATATAAACACAAACATATATTGTGTTATATATACACACAAACATATATTGTGTTATATATACACACAAACATATATTGTGTTATATATATACACACACAAACATATATTGTGTTATATATACACACAAACATATATTGTGTTATATATACACACAAACATATATTGTGTTATATATACACACAAACATATATTGTGTTATATATACACACAAACATATATTGTGTTATATACACAAAAACATATATTGTGTTATATAAACACAAACATATATTGTGTTATATATACACACAAACATATATTGTGTTATATATACACACAAACATATATTGTGTTATATATACACAAACATATATTGTGTTATATATACACACAAACATATATTGTGTTATATATACACACAAACATATATTGTGTTATATATACACACACACAAACATATATTGTGTTATATATACACACACAAACATATATTGTGTTATATATACACACACAAACATATATTGTGTTATATATATACACAAACATACAGTTTACAAATTACAAAAGTTTTAATTTCAGGCAGTTTCAATTAGAAAACTAATATATAGATTACAGAGACAAAATAAATACCAAACATCCACAAAGTATTAATGTTCATTAACAATAAATTCTGGAACTGTAAAATATAATTAAAAACTTTTAAATGTAAAAGCCTAAAAAAATAAAAAAAATAACAACACTGAAAATGTGAACTATTGACATTAAACTATCACCATATAAAGGTGAAAAGTATAGTCTGATTTTATTGACCTATCAATTATGTTTACATTAAAGCACTCATATAAATATTTGATTCCACCTCGGTTCTGTCCATATAATTTACGAGAATTAATATTGAGTATACGACTAATGTACTGAAAAGTCACACTAGCTGAATGTATAGGTTCTCGTCATATCCGCAATAGCACAGTAGGTTATGTGATAAGCGAATATAAAAGAGGTCTGTGGTTCAATCCCTACTTTTGCCATTGTTTTTAGACCTATTCCTTTATTTTTGAAGTATATTTTAATGAAAATGGCCAAGTGCTTGCATAATTGTCTACACGGATTTGAAGCAACTTAGAAACACTGATTTGTCTCCTTTTGTATTGTCTTTTACAGCACTGAAATGGCATTTATAGATATTAGTCTGAATGTATTTTAAATATTAATCCTTAAACCATGTTATTAAAAAAAAGTAAAGTCTTTACCAAAATAAGTGCAAAACATTATTAAATTATTATCAACTCCCATAAACTTTGATTAAAATCCCACCAGTAGTTTGACCTATAAAGGCCGAACAAGATTTTTCTATTTTTAGCTCTGGTGGCCATTTTGTGCAGCAAAGCAGAACGTGCCGGTGATGTGCACAACTAGGGATGGTACTGATCACTCCTGTAAAGTTTGATTGAAATCCCACCAGTAGTTTGGACAAGCTTAATACAGACTGTTGGACAACGGCACGGATGGATTGACGCACGGAGGGGCAGACAGACGGCAAAGGCAAAACCAATATGTCTCCCAAAAATTTTCGGAGACATAATAAGAAAAAGAACATGGACATAGGCGGTCTAGAACTTACAATACATAGAACATTTAGAAGATATATATCGATAGTTTACCATATTTCGCTGTAACGGTCAGTATAACTATTTCATAGGAACAAATTAAATTCAATCACATCTAACTGCCTACATTTACCAAACATTTACCAATATTAACATATTGTATGCATTGACTGTATGATCAGTATGAAATTGACAGGTTAATAAAATCAAACAATAAATGATATAAATCTGGAATGTATGTAACATAACATGAACAGAGAAAACTATCAGTAAACAATACACAGAACTTCTAATAAATGCTAGGAAATATACACAATAGCACTTTCTAATCTATCTTTCATGACTAGATTTATTATGTTAGCTGCATTAATTCCATACTACCATTCAATCATTCTAAACATAAGAAGTAATAATGTTTGATAACAAATAGAGACAAATATATACACATGAATTGCAATATAATGAAATTCAAATACGCTTTTTACTGTATTGTTACAGCCGTAATTTAAAACAATATCTTTAACATTAGTTGACATTATATCTATTTGAAAACAGCATGATCGAATGTATAAGTTATATTTTACAAAGTAGAAGTGCATGTTATTTTCATTATATAACAGTGTATAATGGAAGACCATAAATTACAGAAATATACTGAAAGTAATGACAATAAGTCCTGTCAAACCATATATACATTTCATTGCAGGGTTGCTGTTAAAACTCCTGTCTTTCTTAATACATCACGGTGTTTCATGTTACCTTCTGTCAGTTTGTCAATGGTAGAAATTTGACCTATATATATATAATTATGTCATGTTGTTTATCAGATTATAAACTTCTACACGACATTTGATGTGTGGAGTTGTACACCTCTTCTATGTTTACAGTAATCTCCCATCAGTATGTATCCTCTAGTTGTATACAACAGTCACAGGTGTGACATATAGACCAGATATGTCTAGATCTGCTGTACAAAGTTCTCTCCCTTGTACTGACCAGCTCATTCATTCACCATCATTATCAACAGAATCTTCATCAACAGGGGGGTTGAGTTTACGCTTCTTAGCAAAATTCTCAATTTTCTCTTCCACTGTAAATGCTTAAAATATAAAAATAATAAGTTGGCTATTTCTTATCTCATTTATCAATATATAATTATAGAAATGTTACATTCAACATGATTAACAGATTTTTTATTTGTTGGGTCTTAAGTTGCACTAACACAGTATAGGTCATATAGCGACTTTCAAGCTTTAGGTGAAGGAAGATCTCAAATGCCCTTCACATGTATTGTTTCAGGCACAAACAGGCACCTGAGTAGAACCACAGACATTCTGTAAGCTAGTTTCCTCACACCCCTCGTCCCTGACTGATTAAATATAGACTGAACCAAAATATATATGGCCATCTCTGAATAAAACTAATACAGGATAGAAAGGTGTATAATATGTTATATGAATCAACAATTGAACTGACAGCCTGTTGTAACAAGGAGAAATTAGAGTTTCTCACAATATATCATGAAATTATTATAATAAACTCTTTCAAGTATCAAATATCACTGTGGCAGAGTTCACATAATTAACATTATTTCATAATTGTGTAAATCATGTTGATAAACTTATAGGTACAAAAATCATCTACCTTTACATAAACTACTGTCTTACTCTTATCTCCTAGAACCTGAAGTGGTAAATGTGTATAGTCCCAGGCTTTTAATATTTAAGAAGTGTAGCTAACTTACCTCCCTTCTCCCTCTGCATCAATGGTTTATAAACACGCATCTTCTCCGGAAATATCCAATCAGCTTGATTAAGTATTGGTGGGCTTAAATCAGACCATGGTGCTATATCACATTCTGTAGTGGTAGATATAAAAGTACATTTCACATTAAATCAACATTTATATAACATATATATCATAACATCTCTGTTATAATAATAATAATAGTTCGAACTAGAAGGTATTTTTTTCACAAAAACATGTCTCCCAAAACAAGGTAAGGTACTGATCACTCCTGTGAAGTTTCAGCAGAGCTGTACAAGATTTTTCTATCTATAGTTCTGGTGGCCATTGAGTGCAGTGAAGTTCGGTTGAAATCCTACCAGCACTTTGACCTGTAAAAGCCGAACAAGATTTTTCTTTCATCTCTTGCAGCCATTTTGTACAGTAAAGTGGAACGTGCCGGCAATGTGCACAACTAGGGATAATACTGATCACTCCTTTGAAGGTTGGTTGAAATCCCACGGGCAGTTTGTCCTTTGAAAGCAGGTTAAGTGTTTTCTATATTTAGCTCTACGGCCATTTCGTGCAGCGAAGCAGAGCATGCCTGTGATAAGCACTAAATGGGGGCCATTTTATACAATGAAGCGTAACATGCTCGCGAAGTGCACAACTAGGGATAGTACTGATCACTCCTGTAAAGTTTGGATTGAAATCCAACCAGCAATATGATTTGTAACAAGAGCTGTCACAGGAGATAGCGAAGCTTGACTAATAAAATACTGGACACAGCAAGGAAGATTTGTTTGTTTGTTTTGGGATTTACGTCACAATGACACAGTATAGGTCATATCACGACGTTCCAGCTTTGATGGTGGAGGAAGACCTCAGGTGCCCTTCCGTGCATTATTTCAGGCATGAACGGGTACCTGAGTAAAACCACCGACGTTCCGTAAGCTAGCTGGATAGCTTCCTCACATGAAAAAATCCAAAGTCCCTTGTCAGGATTTGAACCCACAGCAGCGGTGAGGGGCAAGTGGTTTGAAGTCAACGACCTAAACCACTCAGCCACAGACGGCTCAGTAAGGAAGACAAAACTATGAAAAAAAAATCAATTACGTATTAAGTTATAGTAAAAAAAAAAACAACATTTGTTAACATAAATTCCAAGTACAAGGGGAATTAATTATGGAAATACTCACGCTATAGTTATGAACCTTGTCACACAACATGTGTGTAATGATAAGAAATATATATTTGAAGTTTGAAGTAGACACCTTAAAAAGTAAAGAAGTTTTCATATTTCTTAAAAAGATAAATCTGAAAATATAGCTTCAAGAGTTATGAACATATGAACACATAAGATGTAATTGATGATAAGGAATAAGTATAAGTTTGAGGTAGATACCTTTAAAAATAAAGAAGTTATAGTAAACAAGAAATGTCGAACGACACATATGGCCCCCTTTCTAGCCCTTGACTCACATTATTGGTAATTTTGTTAGAGAAACTTGCCATTGAAGTATTCAATTATGAAAAAAAGAAAAATAATGAAGACTGCGATAAAAAGTTTTCAAGATAATGAGACATTTAAGGCCCCTGTGACCTTGACTTTTGACATAGTGACTACAAAATCAATAGGGGTCACTTACTAGTTATGACCAATCAATATTAGAAATATGAAAACTTTGTGATGAATAGTTTTCATGATAATAAGAGGAAATCATATTAACATTCAAGGCCACTGTGACCTTGACCTTTGGCCTAGTGACCCCAAAATCAATAAGGGTCATCTACTAGTTATGACCAATCAATATGTGAAATATGAAGACTTTGTGATGAATTGTAACCAAGAAAATGAGCGGAAACCATTCTCACATTTAAGGCCCCTGTGACCTTGACCTTTGACCTAGTGACCCAAAATCAATAGGGGTCATCTACTAGTTATGACCAATCAATATGTGAAATATGTAGACTTTGTGATGAATACTTTTCATGATAAATCAGCTGAAACCATTCAGACATTTAAGGCTTCTGTGACCTTGACCTTGTGACCCTAAAAATCAATAAGGGTCATCTACTTGTTATGACCAATTAATATGTGAATTATGAAGACTTTGTGATAAATAGTAACCATGATAATAAGCGGAAATCATATTACAATTCAAGGTCCCTGTGACCTTGTACTATGACTTAGTGACCCTAAAATCAAATAGGGATCATCTACTAGTTATGACCAATCAATATGTGAAATATGAAGATTTTGTGATTAATTGTAACCAAGATAATGAGCAGAAACCATTCTGACTTTGAGACCCCTGTGACCTTGACCTTTGACCTAATGACCCCAAAATCATAAGGGGTTATCTACTAGTTATGACCAATCTATATGTGAAATATGAAGAATTTGTGATGACTAGTTTTCAAGATAATCAGCGGAAACCATTTTGACATTTAAGGACCCTGTGACCTTGACCTTTGTGACCCCAAAATCAATAGGGGTCATCTATTAGTTATGACCAATAACTATGTGAAATATGAAGACTTTGTGATAAATAGTTTTGAAGATGATCAGCAAAAACCATTCTGACATTTAAGGCCCCTGTGACCTTGACCTTTTACCTTGTGACCCCAAAATCAATAGGGGTCATCTTCTAGTTATGACCAATCATTATGTGAAGTATGACAACTTTGTGATGAATACTGTTCAAGATAATTAGCTTAAACCATTTTGACATTTAAGGCCCCTGTGACCTTGACCTAGTGACCCCAAAATCAATAGGGGTCATCTACTAGTTATGACCAATAACCATGTTAAATATGAAGCGGAAACCATGTGGTCTACCGACGGACCGACAGACAGACATTAGCAAAACAATATACCCCCTCTTCTTCTAAGGGGGCATAAAAATAACATTTTTTAAGTAAAAAAATCTGAGTTAACCGGGACATAATTCTTGCAATATTGGTGCTAGATTAATGATGAGGAACATATATTTGAAGTATGAAGTTGATCCCTTCAAAGATTAATAAGTAACAGTAAAAAATAATATTTTTCAAGGAAAATTCTAAGTTCAAGGGGAGATAAATCTGAAAATATTGGTGCTAGAGTTATGAACCTTGTCACATAAGATGTCCATAGCTTTTAAAACTCTAAAAATCATGAAGTACAGAGTACCGGTTTTTGTGCACTGCACTTCATCTCAATGAAATCTATCATCCTATGAAGTTTCATGTCCAAAGCTTTTATACTTTAGGAGAAATGGTCCGGACAAAAATAAAGTATGAAAATTAACAAAGGGCAATAAGTAACACAACAGAAGTAACAAGAAAAGTAACCCCTATATGTCGCCTTTTCAAGACAACACAAAAATTATGTCACTTATATCCAACAAAAGTTATGTTTTTCCGTCTAAAAGTGGCAGTGAAGGTTTTTCAAAATATAACAGGGTTTTCACAAAGATATCACTAAAGTGGTGGTGGAAATTTGCCTGAGACAAAAAACTAAACTGGAAGTTGAAAACATCATAATTATGTCAAAATGGTTCACAGAGTTACAAGAAGAGTGATCAAATACACAAGTATTACAAACTTCAAAACAAAATCATTATGAGTTTAGTGAGTGAGTGTTGTAAAGTAACAAAACTTAATCAAATTGTGACACTGATGTGGTCAATGCCAAACAGGTCAATTCCTGATGAGATAGTTGCCAGATAAATCTCTTCATATTTCTGAAATCATATGAGCCGCGTTACAACAAAACCAACAAAGTGCGTTTGCAACCAGCATGGATCCAGACCAGCCTGCGCTACTGCGCAGTCTGATCTGGATCCATGCTGTTTGCTTACCAACTCTATTACAAGTGGAGAAACTGACAGCGAACAGCATGGATCCTGATCAGACTGCGCGGATGCACAGGCTGGTCTGGATCAATGCTGGTCGCAAACGCATTACGTTGGTTTTGTCGTGACGCGGCTCATATTTACGTGCTTTTATGACTCCACATTGTTGAAAACAATATGTCTCTAGTTATATAACCAACACACTAACACAAACTAGTATACAGAATAATTACCTGTTTCTACTTTAGCTTTATCAAGATCTTCCAACATCTTCCTTAACATTGTAGCCCTATTAATCATTCAAAATAACTTGTTTATAATAATATCAGTATAAACATTAATGATTTACTGAATGATTCTTTAATTACAATTCACAAACATAAAACAATGATAAAACAGTCTAACAAAATATTGTCTGAACATAAAATAGCTGACAGAGCAAACTGTACTAGGACCCTTCATATCTATCGGACAATCAATTTACCATCATCCGGTCTGAATCGCACAAGCACTTTCATTAAAAATTTTTGAAGTAAATAACAACAAAAACCACTGTCATGTAAATATTGTTGATTTAGTTCTTTATTTACTTACATGCCCTTTTGTTTACTTTTTTATTTCATGACCTGGTCATGCGGGGGTGGGTATGTTCTGCGCATGCCCAAATATTGAGACTCTTAATGGGTTGTTTTAGATAGGTTTTACTTTTATATTTTCTCTGCATTATCATAGCACATATTTTAATGATGAAAAGAATATATTCAAACTTTATCCAAACAGTATTTCGTTCTATTCTTTTAGAAGGAAATGCAAATTAAAAACCATATAAGGAAACTTGTCACGCCCGATTTTTCAAACCAAGAGAGGAACTCTACATAAAAAATGTAAATGAAATGTATTGCCTGGATTTTACAGGCTTCATGATGACCAAAATGAGACTGTATGACAAAGAATAGAAATCCAAGTGAATATCAAAATTTATGTTTGATGATTTATGAAGAATCAATACAATAATTGACTAAATAATGTGAATTTCCATTAAGCCCCATCGTAATAATCATGGCTGCTGTGTCTATTTTAAGTGAAGTCTTGGTTTTTCCAAAATCTTAACCTTGCCATTCAACAGTCGTAGTCCGACTTCAAAATATTTTAAAACACATTGTCCGGTAAAATGAGTTGTCTACACAAATTTTTTCTCTTAAAATACCCTACTTTGAAGACATGTTTTTATCATCAAAATGTTAAATTTCGTGTTTGATAAGGTAGTTTACGCGTATGAAGAACTCAAAATCACTTGGATAAAATTCCATTCCTTTTTGTTTTTTTTTCTATAAAAGTTACAGCGAAAAAACATCATGTTCTGTCTGGTAATATGAAGGATCCCAGTATGGACAATTAAGAACAGTGTTGTTTAAACTGTGATCAGTTTTTTTCCCAATTATAAATATATCAATGTCTTACATTCATTTTATTTTCAAAGATATATATTCTTTTCATCTAGTAATGTTGGAAAATAATTGCAACAGAACTGTATGGTTAAACTTAGCCCTAACACCTTCTGAGACAGGAAGTGTATTAGCCCCTGTCATCAGAATAGACTTTAACTGACTTTTGCAAATTCTAAACAGGGTTATTTTTTTTTGTTTTGTTTGGGTTTTACGTCACATCGACACAGTATAGGTCATATTGCGACGTTCCAGCTTTGCTGGTGGAGGAAGACCTCAGGTGCCCTTCCGTGCATTATTTCAGGCACGAACGGGCACCTGAGTAGAACCACCGACGTTCCGTAAGCTAGCTGGCTGGCTTCCTAAACAGGGTTAATGTATGAAAAAGATTCAGCAATGTTAAGGGTAAGACAGATATCTTACTGTACAGTATGCTCTGCCCAGATCTGTTGTAATGTCTTTATATTGTCTTCATGCCAATCTGTAAAATATATCAACATTATCTCAATTAACTATACTTTCATTGATGTTTAACTCAATCAAGGCTTTAGCAATGCACTATTATAAACTAACTAGATTGGCGACTGCTAATTTGTCAGCTAACTGAGATCAATCTTTTCATTAAACGACCACTTTTACCTGTCAAGTGTTTGTGATTTTACAGAACGCCACCTCATGATGTAACAAGTGTCAACAATCAAAACACAATATATAAATGTGTGAAAAACTCTATTTCCCAAACCAATTTTAGCGTATGCAAATGAAGTTAAGTATACTCGTCACGTTTATTATCCAATAATATATCGATAAAACAATGCAACGCTTCGCCCCTACTGAGATTGTGTATACGCTTCGCTGTTGATATTTAGATTGCATTGAATTGACCTTGAACTTGATCAGCATACAATTAGATGTAGTTTGTTAATTTCAAATGAAAAATGCACAACAGAAAACATCTTCACTTATTAGGGTTTACGTGTTGGAAACAAGGAAAAGCAACAGAGAAGTTTAAAAATTCTTGAAAAATGTCAAACGTGTACGTACATGTAATGGATAAAAACAGTTTTGTCAATAAACATCAGAAAGTTTTTTTTTATAATTAGCATCCATTTATATTACTAAACATTTATATAAATGAAGTTGAAAAACATTCCATCCTCAAAAGAAATATGTCATGTACAAAATGTTACTTTTTTTATCATGCTTTGTCTTAAGAGACCGTTTCATTAAGCAACAGTTTTTGGTGTTTCCTTGGTGCGGTCGCTTGAAACATATTTAACTGTATGCTGATTTTAACCTAATTGTTGCTTATATCAAATTTTGCCATATTGTAAATACTAGTGTTTTACATTATCTAGGGTAACACATATTTATGAATAAATAGACAGAGATACAAGGGAAATAATTCCAAGACTGCAAAATTGATAAAGCATTGTTCTCTCCCTTTATTCATACTTTTGAACTTTAAATGTAATATACAAAACAATCTGAAAATTTCAGAATACATGGACAAAAAAGTGGACTTTTTATTGTATGAGAGATTCGAACTCTCTAACATCAATCAACAATGTGTTATATAATAATCTGTTTATACATAATACTATCAGTATTGTGTGGGAATCAAACATTGATATCAGTAATGTGTGGGAATCAAACATTGATATCAGTAATGTGTGGGAATCAAACATTGATATCAGTAATGTGTGGGAATCAAACATTGATATCAGTAATGTGTGGGAATCAAACATTAATATCAGTAATGTGTGGGAATCAAACATTGATATCAGTATTGTGTGGGAATCAAACATTGATATCAGTAATGTGTGGGAATCAAACATTGATATCAGTATTGTGTGGGAATCAAACATTGGTATCAGTAATGTGTGGGAATCAAACATTGATATCAGTAATGTGTGGGGAATCAAACATTGATATCAGTATTGTGTGGGAATCAAACATTGATATCAGTAATGTGTGGGAATCAAATATTGGTATGAGGTTATGTTTGGGAATCAAACACTGGTATCAGTAATGTGTGGTAATCAAACATTGGTATGAGGTTATGTTTGGGAATCAAACACTGGTATCAGTAATGTGTGGTAATCAAACATTGATATCAGTAATGTGTGGGAATCAAACATTGATATCAGTAATGTGTGGGAATCAAACATTGGTATTTTGGTAATGTGTGGGAATCAAACATTGGTATGAGGTTATGTTTGGGAATCAAACACTGGTATCAGTAATGTGTGGGAATCAAACATTGATATCAGTAAAGTGTGGGAAACAAACATTGGTATGAGGTAATGTTTGGGAATGAAACATTGATATCAGTAATGTGTGGGAATCAAACATTGGTATGAGGTAATGTATGGGAATCAAACATTGATATCAGTAATGTGTGGGAATCAAACATTGGTATCAGTAATGTGTGGGAATCAAACATTGGTATGAGGTAATGTATGGGAATCAAACATTGGTATCAGTAATGTGTGGGAATGAGGTATTTTGTGGTAATCAAACATTGGTATTTTGGTAATGCGTGGTAATCAAACATTGGTATTATGGTAATGTGTGGTAATCAAACATTGGTATGAGGTATTTTGTGGGAATCAAACATTGATATGAGGATAAGTTTGGGAATCAAACATTGGTATCAGTAATGTGTGGGAATCAAACATGGTAATGAGGTATTTTGTGGGAATCAAACATGGTTATGAGGTAATTTTTTGGAATCAAACATTGGTATGAGGTAATGTTTGGGAATCAAACACTGGTATCAGTAATGTGTGGGAATCAAACATGGTAATAAGGTATTTTGTGGGAATCAAACATTGATATGAGGTTATGTTTGGGAATCAAACATTGATATCAGTAATGTGTGGGAATCAAACATGGTAATGAGGTATTTTGTGGGAATCAAACATTGGTATTTTAGTAATGTGTGGTAATCAAACATTGGTATTTTGGTAATGTGTGGTAATCAAACATTGGTATTATGGTAATGTGTGGTAATCAAACATTGGTATTTTGGTAATGTGTAGTTATCAAACATTGGTACCGTATAAGTGGTTTTTTCTGCGGGCTCCAAATTCTGCGGTTTTTCCAAATTTTGGCAATGTTTTATTTCTGCGGATTTTATTTCTGCGGCACAATCTTTGCGACAAACGTGATTTAAATTCTGCGGCTCATCCTATCAAAGTCTAAGTCACATTACTTTACCTATTTTTTTTGCATGTCACATTCGCATTAAAATTTTGTTTACCGTCGTCACCGCAAAACTATATGGTAATTACAAAAACAATTATATTGTTTGCTTGCAAACAAAAAAAATATAATGTGCAATAATAGACAGTTTGCATCTTTTGATCAGCGTGAAAGTGACGTGTTAAAAATATACCCGGTAGTATTTTTTAATTTAATAAAACTGATAGAAGTTTATCGTAGTAAATCAGACCAAGAATAATGTACACGAAGATAATTTAGCAGTATAAGTGGTTTAAATGGTTTTAATGATTTAGTGGTAAACAAACCTTTAGCGTACAGGCAACACTATGGTGTTTAAATTTCTTTGTTCATAAATTGGCAAAATAAACAACAAATACATCCTTCATGTCCTTACAAGCACATATTACATACTTAGCCGAAAGCAATTTTATATAATTCGATGACCCGCTAACCGTTATAATCCGTTAGTCGTTATTACTTTAGAGGAAACAGGTCCTTATGTAGAAAACAAAATGTGGAGAAATATTCTGCGGTTTTTATTTCTGCGGTGCTGAAACTGACTGCAGAAAACGCAGAAATAAAGTCACCGCAGAAAAAACCACTTATACGGTATGAGGTAATGTGTGGTAATCAAACTTTAGTATGAGGTAATGTGTGGTAATCAAACATTGGTATTATGGTAATGTGTGGTAATCAAACATTGGTATTTTGGTAATGTGTGGTAATCAAACATTGGTATGAGGTAATGTGTGGTAATCAAACTTTAGTATGAGGTAATGTGTGGGAATCAAACATTGGTATGAGGTAATGTGTGGTAATCAAACATTGGTATTATGGAAATGTGTGGTAATCAAACATTGGTATTATGGTAATGTGTGGGAATCAAACATTGGTATGAAGTAATGTTTGGGAATCAAACATTGGTATGAGGTAATGTGTGGTAATCAAACTTTAGTATGAGGTAATGTGTGGGAATCAAACATTGGTATGAGGTAATGTGTGGTAATCAAACATTGGTATTATGGAAATGTGTGGTAATCAAACATTGGTATTATGGTAATGTGTGGGAATCAAACATTGGTATGAAGTAATGTTTGGGAATCAAACATTGGTATGAGGTAATGTGTGGTAATCAAACATTGGTATTTTGGTAATGTGTGGTAATCAGACAATTGGTATTTTGGAAATGTGTGGTAATCAAACATTGGTATTATGGTAATGTGTGGTAATCAAACATTGGTATTTTGGTAATGCGTGGTAATCAAACATTGGTATTATGGTAATGTGTGGTAATCAAACATTGGTATCAGTAATGTGTGGGAATCAAACATTGATATCAGTAATGTGTGGGAATCAAACATTGATATCAGTAATGTGTGGGAATCAAACATTGGTAATGAGGTATTTTGTGGGAATCAAACATTGGTATGAGGTATTATATAGGATTCAAACATTGGTATGAGGTAATGTATGGGATTCAAACACTGGTATCAGTAATGTGTGGGAATCAAAATGGTAATAAGGTATTTTGTGGGAATCAAACATTGATATGAGGTTATGTTTGGGAATCAAACATTGATATCAGTAATGTGTGGGAATCAAACATGGTAATGAGGTATTTTGTGGGAATCAAACATTGGTATTTTAGTAATGTGTGGTAATCAAACATTGGTATTTTGGTAATGTGTGGTAATCAAACATTGGTATTATGGTAATGTGTGGTAATCAAACATTGGTATTTTGGTAATGTGTAGTTATCAAACATTGGTATGAGGTAATGTGAGGTAATCAAACTTTAGTATGAGGTAATGTGTGGGAATCAAACATAGGTATTTTGGTAATGTGTGGTAATCAAACTTTAGTATGAGGTAATGTGTGGGAATCAAACATTGGTATGAGGTAATGTGTGGTAATCAAACATTGGTATTATGGAAATGTGTGGTAATCAAACATTGGTATGAGGTAATGTGTGGTAATCAAACATTGGTATTATGGAAATGTGTGGTAATCAAACATTGGTATGAGGTAATGTGTGGGAATCAAACATTGGTATTATGGTAATGTGTGGGAATCAAACATTGGTATTTTGGTAATGTGTGGGAATCAAACATTGGTATGAGGTAATGTGTGGGAATCAAACATTGGTATCAGTAATGTGTGGGAATCAAACATTGGTATGAGGTAATGTGTGGGAATCAAACATTGGTATCAGTAATGTGTGGGAATCAAACATTGGTATCAGTAATGTGTGGGAATCAAACATTGGTATGAGGTAATGTGTGGGAATCAAACATTGGTATCAGTAATGTGTGGGAATCAAACATTGGTATTATGGTAATGTGTGGTAATCAAACATTGGTATTATGGTAATGTGAGAGAGTATCATACTTACAAGCTTCATGTATCCATTCAAACTCATCACCAAAGTCAGCATCATACAAACACAATGGAATTTCTAAAATCAAGATCAACAGATCAATACAGTTAATTTTGAATAAAATACATAAGCAAAAAAAAAAGCCTAAACATGGGAGGGATATTTTGCTTTACTTTTCTTATAACTTTACTGTAAAACAAGACATGTGCAGGAATTTTCTATTTTGAAAGCGAAAATTAAATCATTATCCACGCTAGAGTAATGGGTCTTGGTTGCAAACATGAATGAAATTTCAAGCAAACATATTACATGGTTAAGGAAATAGAACTTCCTACAACATCCAGAGAGTGTTTTTATTAGAACACAAATTGGTTTAACTTGGTCAAAATCAGTCAGAAGTCTTGGTCAGTGACCTTGAAATACGCTGTCAAACATAAGTTAAGAGTATCAAGAGAATATCAGTTCTAGTTAATGTAAGATGATACTGCACATATGTCATACCAACAACAATCTTTAAATAGTCATGCTAGAAATTAATGTTGGTTGCTTCAGATCAGCTAATTTTGATAGCTAGTGGTCTGGTCACATAATTATTGTTTACTTACCTGAAGACATGTTAAACTGAGGTTTCTTTGGGTTCTTTTCAACATTTAGCAACTCATCTATCACCTAAAATCATACATAGAAAATAAACTAGTTAAAATCATACAATGAAAATAAACCAGTTAAAATCATACAATGAAAATAAACCAGTTAAAATCATACAATGAAAATAAACCAGTTAAAATCATACATAGAAAATAAACCAGTTAAAATCATACAATGAAAATAAACCAGTTAAAATCATACAATGAAAATAAACCAGTTAAAATCATACAATGAAAATAAACCGGTTAAAATCATATATATCAAGTAAATCTTTTAAAATTATACATTGAAAAAAAAAACACTTTAAGATAATACCTGTTAGGTATTAAACAACTTTAAATCATACAATTAACTAGAAATGTGTCATCATGCCACGGATGCCCCCGCATGCAGCCAAAATTTCAGATGTTATAATATTTAGTTCCAAATTTGTTTGCACAAATTATTTTTTTCATTTTAAGTTCAAAGCCCTTAAAACTTTTCAATGTTAACACAAACCATTTTCATACAATGTTCAAGGCACTGAAATTATTCAGTCTTAACCTTTTGAAAATAGCATATTTCATATTTGTAGCCAAAATAATGGCTACATTATACATTTCAGTGCTGAAACTGAAAGTTCAAAATTTTTCCAACATTCAAGAAAGATAAGTTTGTCCAAAATCATTGAACCACGACCAAATTCAAACTTTAAACTGCTTATTCCTAAGATGGTATCTATATTATTTTCAAAGTGAAACGGACATAACTCTGCCAAAAAATCATCAAACCATGACCAAATTCCAACTTGACCTGCCCATTCCTTTGACATATCCATATGTCAAATTTGAGTTGTTGGGTAGATAATGAACAGAAACTGTAAATTTCATATTATTTTCAAAGTGAAAGGGGCATTACTCTGCCAAAAATCATTAAACCATGACCAAATTCCAACTTGAACTTGACCTGCGCATTCCTCTGACGTATCCATATGTCAAGTTTGAGTTGAATGTGTTGTACCATTGGGGAGATAATGAACGGAAACTGAAAATTTCATATTATTTTCAAAGTAAAAGGGGCATAACTCTGCCAAAAATCATCGAACCATGACCAAATTCCAACTTGAACTTGACCTGCGCATTCCTGTGACGTATCCATATGTCAAGTTTGAGTTGAATGTGTTGTACCATTGGGGAGATAATGAACGGAAACTGAAAATTTCATATTATTTTCAAAGTAAAAGGGGCATAACTCTGCCAAAAATCATTAAACCATGACCAAATTCCAACTTGAACTTGACCTGCGCATTCCTGTGACGTATCCATATGTCAAGTTTGAGTTGAATGTGTTGTACCATTGGGGAGATAATGAACGGAAACTGAAAATTTCATATTATTTTCAAAGTGAAAGGGGCATAACTCTGCCAAAAATCATTGAACCATGACCAAATTCGAACTTGACCTGTATTTTCTCACGACATATCCATATGTCAAATTTGAGTTGAATGTGTTGTACCGTTGGGGAGATAATGAACGGAAACTGAAAATTTCATATTATTTTCAAAGTAAAAGGGGCATAACTCTGCCATAAATCATCGAACCATGACCAAATTTGAACTTGACCTGTATTTTCTCACGACATATCCATATGTCAAATTTGAGTTGAAATTGTTGTACCATTGGGGAGATAATGAACGGAAACTGAAAATTTCATATTATTTTCAAAGTAAAAGGGGCATAACTCTGCCATAAATCATCGAACCATGACCAAATTCGAACTTGACCTGTATTTTCTCATGACAAATCCATATGTCAAGTTTGAGCTGAATGTGTTGTACCATTGGGGAGATAATGAACGGAAACTGAAAATTTCATATTATTTTCAAAGTAAAAGGGGCATAACTCTGCCAAAAATCATCGAACCATGACCAAATTCGAACTTGACCTGTATTTTCTCATGACATACCCATATGTCAAATTTGAGTTGAATGTGTGCAACTGTTACTAAGATAATGAACGGAAACTGATGATGACGGAATGACAGAATGACGGAACAGGGTAACATTATATGCCCTGGCCATTACATGGCGGGGGCATAAAAATGAATCAGTTAAAATTATACTTGTGTATTTATATATGGAAAATCAATCCCCCCCCCCCCCCCCCTTCGGCAGGGCCAATTTTGAACCCAGGACTCTAATTTGAACAAACTTGGTAGACACTCACTAGAAGATGTTTCATGCCAAATATCTAAGTTGTAAGGTCTGTGACCTTGACCTTTGACCCAGTGACCTCAAAATCAATAGTGGTCATCTACTAATCATGACTAACCTCCATGCAAATATGAAGACTTTGGACAAAGGAATCTTAAGTTATTGGGCGGACAAGGAAATACCGATGGACAGCAGGCATTTCTATTGTTATTTTCTTTTGTTTCATAGAGGGCCATGGCCCCTTATTCTATTGTTACTGAAATGACTTCTATTGTTCTTTTTTGTTCTGTTAACAGTTAGATGGCCCCCTATCCTTATTCGGTTGTGCGGGGAGATGTCCAGATGGAAAAGCTGATTCCAGTATACCCCCTTACAACTTTGTTGTGAGAGGGTATAAAAAGTTTGAAATTAAGGCGATTTAGTGTATGTACAAATAATATACAAACCTCTGGAGATTCTTGTTCTTTCCCTATAAGGAAGAGTACAGATACGATACATCTAATCTGATGGTAGAGGAATGCTGTACCAACTATAGTCAACTCACACATTGTATAACCTCCCTGATCACTCTCATCTAAAACCTTCATATCAGCACTGAGAATTTTACGTACAAAATTAGTCACACCATCAGCTATGTTGTGTTTACACAGGTTCCTAAAGTCATGTTCCCCTATCAGCTTCTTGGCTGCTTGGTCCATTATCTGTACAATATATTACACATAAACAGTACAGTATGCAGCTAACATGCTTTGTCAAGTACACATCATCTCAAACTATTGTAACATTAACTTTATTGACAGTCCTTTTTTATGACTTAGGGCTTAATAGAGGGTGTGCAAGTTCAAACACTGATACAGGTTAACAATAATCCATGGGAGCATATTGTAAGTCCAAAATCAACATATATTCTTTAAATGATCCTATTATTGTATACCCTCTCACATTTAAAGCTGTTTATCTACAAATGGTAAAATTAAAACAAAAACAAATTGAAAATATGAAAAACGATTTTCAGTAAATGGTTTATACTGGTCTACTTAGATTCAATTACTACTGACCAAAGTGATGACGAAATCATCAATAAAATGTTTTTTCCTAGCATAAAAATCGACTGTGTTACTAATGCAGTAGCCAATATAAATAGGTAAGACGACTTATTCAACATAGTTAGTTTCACAACAATGGTTTGTAAAAATCTGGGAATCTGAAATGCCTACTCCTTTAGATATTTTGATGTTAGTTGATATGTAGGCTAATATAGCTCAGAATACAGATAACACTAATGTTTGTTTGTTTGTTTCATTTTACGCCTTTTCCCAAAATTATTTCAGTCATATAGGCGGGTAGTTTTCTAACCATCTTTCCTGGAGAGTTACACCAGTACTAGACTACCATCCTCCGTGCTAAACTACCAAAGCATCTCCCGGGGATCGAACCCACGCCAGAGAGGTAACTGGATTAGAAGTCATTGACTCTAACCCCTGACCACGGAGTCGTGTTGTAATATGGACTTTCAATAGCCTAGCTTGCATTTTAAACATATATATATAATGTGATAGAGCCATGTTGATTTTTGTATGTATACCAAAAGGAATAACGTCAAACATTATTTTAAATGATAATCCCCCACCCCACACCCCTGCAAGCTTAAGGAGTGCTGAAATACAGCAAATAAGTGAGTTATTTCTTTTACACAGACAAAATGTTTAATTAGGTGGAATATAGTATTTTAGGGTATTCCCTTCTTCAAAATGATTGGAGAAAAAATCCTACACAAATATTAGATGACAACTAAAGATACACAATAAAACGTGACAACAGTAGTATTTATACTCCAGTTTTGATCTCATACCTCTATATTCAAATTGCCTCGTGGAAAGAAATACTTGTATGTCCTTTTCTTGCAACTAAATCTGAATACAAGAAAAAATAAAGCTCATACATAATGGAATGGTTAGTAATGTTGACATTATCTTAATGTAGGGATATGAACAAAGCATCCCTGGAATAAGTTAATCAAGTGTTAATATATTAAGTACAATAATGATCCTTGTTTAATATTACTACATAAATAAACTTCAGAACACTCAATATGTAGTTTTTTATTCAACAAGCTTAAAATAAAGATGAAGATTGACCAAAATGTGTTATGTTTGACATCAGGCATCAAATTTTATAGTAAAATGGCAACATTCTGGTTTTTACTGGTGGAAGATGATGTACATATCCTCTATTATTTGAGGCAATGGTTGTCATCAACCTATACCAACTCGCTTCCTACCATGAAATCTCCACATCAACTTAAACCTTACCTTCAGTAACACGTGTTTCTCCTCACATATAGGTATGCAAGTTTTGATGTTACTACTGTGTTCACAATTATTTTGAGGTCAAAGCAATTCAATCATCATTACAAAATATTCAACAAGATATGTTTGTAAAACATGTATGCCCCCTATCGGCAGCCAATTAGTCATGTGATCAGGTTATTATGCATGACTTCTGACCCAGTGAACAAACAATAAATAAGGGTTATCTAGTATCTACTGGTCATGACTAGTCACAAGGTAATAATTATTGTGACCCCATAGGTTGTGTGCAGCAATTTAAGTTATTACAAATCTTACCAAATAATATATGCATAAATTTTATGAACCATGTAGGCCTCATTAATGACAGCCAAGTTGTTATATTACATAAGACCTTCAAATGTGTATACCAAAAGCATTTTTAGTTTAATATAAAAATATCAACCAAGGCAACTTGAGTTGTTGAGTTATTGGTCAGAAACCGTCATTAAGTACAAGGTCAATATGACATTGACCCCTTGATCCCAAAATCAATAGGGGTCATCTACTGGTCATGACCAATCATCATACAAAGTTTGAAGTTCCTAGGCCTAAGCGTTCTTTAGTTATTGATCGGAAACCGTTTTTACCTACAAGGTCAATGTGACCTTGACCTTGAACACCTTGACCCCAAAATCAATAGGGGTTATCTGCTGGCAATGACCAATCATCATACCAAGTTTGAAGTTTCTAGGCCTAAGCGTTCTTTAGTTATTGATCGGAAACCATTTTTACCTTCAAGGTCAATGTGACCTTGACGTTTGACCCCTTGACCCAAAATCAATAGGGGTCATCTGCTGGTCATGACCAATCACCATGCCAAGTTTGAATTTCCTAGGCCGAAGTGTTCTATAGTTATTGATCAGAAATCGTTTTTACTTACAAGGTCAATGTGACCTTGACCTTTGACCCCTTGACCCAAAACTCAATAGGGGTCATCTGCTGGTCACGACCAATCATCTTACAAAGTTTGAAGTTCCTAGGCCTAAGCGTTTTCAGTTAATTGATCGGAAACCGTTTTCACCTACAAGGTCAATGTGACCTTGACCTTTGATCCCTTGACCCCAAAATCAATAGGGGTCATCTGCTGGTCATGACCAATCACCATACCAAGTTTGAAGTTCCTAGGCCTAAGGGTTCTTAAGTTATTGATCGGAAACCGTTTTTACCTACAAGGTCAATGTGACCTGACGTTTGACCCCTTGACCCAAAATCAATAGGGGTCATCTGCTGGTCATGACCAATCACCAATGCCAAGTTTGAATTTCCTAAGGCCGAAGCGTTCTATAGTTATTGATCAGAAATCGTTTTTACTTACAAGGTCAATGTGACCTTGACCTTTGACCCCTTGACCCAAAACTCAATAGGGGTCATCTGCTTGGTCACGACCAATCATCATACAAAGTTTGAAAGTTCCTAGGCCTAAGCGTTTTTCAGTTAATTGATCGGAAACCGTTTTCACCTACAAGGTCAATGTGACCTTGACCTTTGACCCCTTGACCCCAAAAATCAATAGGGGGTCATCTGCTGGTCATGACCAATCACCATACCAAGTTTGAAGTTCCTAGGCCTAAGGGTTCTTTAAGTTATTGATCGGAAACCGTTTTTACCTACAAGGTCAATGTGACCTTGACCTTTGACCCCTTTACCCCAAAATCAATAGGGGTCATCTACTGATCATGACCAATCACCATATCAAGTTTGAAGTCCCTAGGCTTAAGGGTTCTTTTGTTATTGATCGGAAACCGTTTTTACCTACAAGTTCAATGTGACCTTGACCTTTGACCCCTTGACCCCAAAATAGGGGTCATCTACTCATCATGACCAATCACCATACCAAGTTTGAAGTTCCTAGGCCTTAAGGTTCTTAAGTTATTGATCGTAAACCGTTTTTGCTTACAAGGTCAATGTGACCTTGACCTTTGACCCCTTGACCCCAAAATCAATAGGGGTCATCTACTGGGCATGACCAATCACCATACCAAGTTTGAAGTTCCTAGGCCTAAGGGTTCTTTAGTTATCACTCGGAAACCATTTGGTCTACGGACCGACGGACCAACGGACCGACAAGTGCAAAGCAATATACCCCCTCTTCTTCGAAGTGGGGGCATAATAATGTAATTATATACATGAAATTGGTAGTTTTGACCTGGCAATTATTCTAGTCAGTATATTCATACATCTTCATAAAATATTACATTTTGTTAAATATCTAAGTACAAGTAGAGTATTATTTATTCATTATGTGTTATGATGCTGGTGTACACATGATGTTACAGATGTTTAACAACTATCCTGCAGGTGTACGTCAGTCTGTCAGGATCCATATCAAGTCATGTAAAGAATGACTACTAAGGCAGGGAACTTTTCATTAACACAATATGCTCCTATTTGCTAGGGTAACCTAGATGACACATACATCAATGTTTGTCTATATTATTTACAGACTCACCTAGAGCTAAAGTTTGGATCAACAGGTGCCCAAGCCAGCACTCTGATTTCTGAGGGTAGATTCTTATTGAGAATATGACAGTATTGAATCTCTGTAGTCTTATCACCTGAAATAAACACCCCACCCAAGACAGGGTAACATTGTAATATATCAGAAATATACACAATCTGATATACACAAACATGATAACATTGTAATATATCAGAAATATACACAAACATGATAACATTGTAATATATCAGAAATATACACAAACATGATAACATTGAAATATATCATAAATATACACAAACATGGTAATATTGCAATATACCCGAATACACCCCAGATAGGATAACATTGAAATATATCATAAATATACTCCCCAGATAGGATAACATTGAAATATATCAGAAATATACACAAACATGGTAACATTGCAATATACCAGATATATACACCCCAGATAGGATAACATTGTAATATGCTGGAAATATACACCCCAGATAGGGTAACATTGTAATATACTGGAAATATACACCCCAGATAGGGGAACATTGTAATATACCAGAAATATACACCCCAGATATGGACACATTGAAATATACCAGAAATATACACAAACATGTAATAGAAAGAGCATAGAAACACTGATTTGTACGAGGGGGTGTAGCCTCTGAATATAAATCAGATTGTTGAGTGTTTTGATGTTCTTTCTCTTTTGTCAAACATAAAAACATGTTCCCAGCTGTCACAATATAAATCCCCAGAAAAAAGAAACCAATGAACGAGCATCTGAATATAATATTTCTATTGCTTTCCCTTTTTCTGCCGTCACAATAAGTAAAACCCAGTAAAAATGAGCCAATCAATGGGCAAGCTCTGGAGTGCGGGTAACTAATACCTGCACTCCGGTTAACACACTGTTCATGTACATGTATATGATTTAACTCCGACAATGTTTTCAACAGACAGGTCCTCTTACTATGATACAAGATAACATTGTAATATACCCAGGAATATACACCCCAGATATGGAAACATTGAAATATACTAGAAATATACACCACAATGTTGATAACATTGACATATACCAGAAAGACATTATAACTGAAATAATTCCATCATAAATAGTTCTCTGCACATCATATCTGTCATCTAAGATCATCATTGAAGAAACATCCGATAGTCAGCTGGATAAAAACTTAAAACCCAGAACTATTGTAAAACTGGTCTATCATGACAGTGTATTTATTATGTCTATGTAAAATACTCTCAGAAATTATATGTTAGATATTATCATAAAAAGAAAACGGTTGATGAGGTTGTTCCAGAATGACAACAAAGATGAAATACCTGGTCTATCAGTGGCAGTCCCTCCTTCCCTCACCTTCACACCTACTCCTGATAGTAGATTACTCCTTAAATCTAGAGATACAACCTGAAATTTCATTTACCATACTTTATACACTGGTTTCATTACACTGAACAATTTAAGTTTAATATTTAAATGTTCAACATACTCCGTTAGACGTTTATCTACTAAACAATTCTGTAAAGAATTGATGTTTCACCATTTCCCTAAACTGCTAACAACAATTATTAATTTATCACACTATATTGCAATAAGTAAAAGAGTCAATATATCTCATATATTTATCTAAGATTATATGTATAAGGGAAAACAAAAACATATGTATTGACAATTTTATATTATCATAACTTTAAACATGTTATAAGACAAGACAATGGCTAGTTCTCTACAGAACTAGTACTTACAATCATTGCTCAACAATGAAGACAAAAATTGAACTTTACCCAATGATCTCATACCCATAGTCAACAGGTCATAGTCAATTCCAGATTCATATATTTGATACCAAATATTTAAGTGGGACAATCAGACAATCATACTGGCCACAATAATTACATTTTATGCTGTTTTTTTTTAAAGATATTACACAAATGTTTGTACACATGCACACACCTGCTGGAAGGCACTAACACCTTTATCTGTGCGACCACAACGTTGATAGCATGACGTCTGCCTATAAACAGAAAAATTACATATAATCACATTTATATAACTCACCTGATGAAAAGCACTGACGCCTTTGTCTGTCCTTCCACAAAAGCTGTAACCTGCACTCTGCCTGTATATGTCATATAATATTTTAGTGGCAACTGATCTTAAATTTATCTTAAATTTAGTTAGATAGAAGATACAAACTTGCTTATACAGAAAATTTGTAATAATGAGAGCTCTGCAAAGGCAGGGAAATATATGCCTGAATATAAAGTTGTTTGAGTAATCTTAAACAAGACGGCCAAGATAGCCTTTATATCAATCACCTAATTATGCAGGCTAAATACCATTTTATTTGGGCTATGTGACCTAGATTTTGCCACAGACAACCCATATTCAAACCTGACCTAGAAATCACCAAAACAACCTTTCTGACCAAATTTCAGGATGTTTGGAGCAAAACAATAGCCATAGAGCATTAACAAGGTTTTTCTACAGTAATTAGTATGGCTGTGTGACCTAGTTTTTGACCCCAGATGACCCATATTAAAACTTGACCTAGAAATCAGCAAACCAACCTTTCCAGGATATTTGGCTAGAGTGTTAACGAGGTGCTTCAATATTTTGGCTGTGTGACCTAGTTTTTGACCGCAGGTGACCAATATTTGAATTTGACCTAGAAATCACCAAAACAACCTTTCTGACCAAATTTCAGGATGTTTGGAGCAAAACAGTAGCCTCTAGAGCATTAACAAGGTTTTTCCAAAGTGGGGCTGTGTGATCTAGTTTTGGACCCCAGATGACCCATATTAAAACTTGACCTAGAAATCATTTAAACAATCTTTCTGGCTTAATTCCAGGATATTTGGATCAAAACAGTAGCCCCTAGAGTGTTTAAAAGGATTTTCCATATTTGGGCTGTGTGACCTAATTTTTTACCCTAGATTTTTTAAAAATATTCTTATCATTTCTTTTAGTTGCCATAGCAACCAGGTTTCTGCATGGAATCAAATTCTTTGAACAAATTTTGGAGCCCTTAACCCAAGGGACAATCCTGCCAAGTTTGGTTGAAATTGGACTGGTGGTTTTTCACAAGATTTTTTAAATTCACAATATAATCTATATAACAGAGAAACGTATAAAAACACAGACAGGTGAATCGCTTTATGGCATAAGAAGTGCACAATGAAAATATCAGATATCGTAATTTCTGTTCTGAAAATAACTGCCATGAAATATGCAAGAAAAAGAATCAAACACCGGGTAACTGTTAACTTGTAACCAGTGTAAGATTCTTTTATGTTTTTAATCATAAGCATGATCATGCCATAGACATTGTCAATGGAACAGCCTATTCTATGTTGTATGCAACAGGACACAGTTAACAGGATAATAATACATGTAATAAACATTACCTTGACTCGATCAGTTTTGTTTTCTTTAAAGCTTCAAACAAAAAATGTTCAATTGTATTGCTGTTATCTTCCTGTGATGCAAAACCTTGGTAACCGTATCCAAGATACATAATCTTTAATGCTACATGACGAGTATTGTACCTGAAATATTACCATATTTCTAGTTCAGCAAAAAATGAAACCTAAATTTGTTTCAAAGTAACTTGTTAATGAGCTTATAATAATATTTGTGTTGTTTAGCTTTAGTTTAACTTTGGAAGTTATATTCTGAGCAACCAACATATTCATCATTTCATTCACTGCAAAAAATTATAATCAGACTAAAGCAAATACAGAGAAAAGAGCCCAAAATATTTAAATAAAAATAAAGCTTTAAAAACCCTTCATTCATGAATATATATTCACTTAAAAGCTTCTATGTAATACACACCTAATTTAAAGTTCTAAATAATTTCAGTTTTGTAAAAATATTTTTGTAAAAGACAAAACAACCTTCATAAATACAAATCATACTTGTTGAAATCTATTTCCCTCTGAGGTTTAGATTTTCTTTGTCGACCAACAGGTTGTGAAGTTGATACATCTTTTCTTATAACAATATTTTGTAATTGTTTCACATGTGACTCCAATTGTCGAACTCTGCACATCAATTCCTGCTCAAAAAATATGTATGTAAAAAGATTTCCATCTAGAGAATGAGACATTGAAATCATACCATGATAGTACTGGATAAATATTATTAACAAATTAACAATATTGCATTTATAAGCATACATGTAATCTATTTCCCAGAATTTTCACTACATGTATATTACATTTTTAAAATTTGATATTTGCATGAAAAATAATGGATATATGGTTGATTTGGTTTTTCATCTAATGTGTTATATCACAAAAATCTCACTGTTCTATCTATGATACTACTTATCATACTAGTATCCCTTTCCTTTTCACCACAGGCTTTCACTATTTTAATTTTGCATGCTTTTAGAAAGACACATTCTAAAAAAACAAGCAGTTAAATCACGAAACATTCTGAAGACCAAGTTTCTTTCCATTGCTTCAAACAAGACTGTTTAACACCTGAGCATCTTCAGAAATTTAACATTTGTCGACAAAGAGCAGTTGTAATTAAAATTACAACCACTTTATCCCTTGCATCCTACTTTATGAACAACAATTTTTACTTCAAAATTTGCTCAGTCATGATAAATATATACATGTAGGTCTCAGAAAACTATTGATGATCATGTCACTGAACTACAGTACCAGGGAATAGTTTGTGTAGAATAGCTGCATTTTTTCTCTGAAAATTGAGAAGAGAATTTAAAGATCTTTTCCATCTTTTATGGGTATCATTTCATTCTTTAACCCACACTGCATGAGAATTTTGTGAAAAATGGCTCTTTTCATTGAAAGCCTCCTGTTACAAGTCTTAAAGAGCACAATGGCACTCTGTTGTCGAACAGACAACTGTACTAAATTAATAGTCACCTAGGTTTGATTTTATTCAAGTTCATAATGATATTCAAACTTTAATTTAGTTTGTTTGCCATAACTGCTATTGTTCATTCCTTGAACAAAATACGTAACAATTTACCATTACAACCATATCTATTTTTTAAACACTGAAATTGTACTGTAGTACTACTAGTGGCCATTGTTTAAAACATTTGATTATGAAGGCATCAAAATCTAGGACAGCTCTATAATAAAACCAGACATTTTTATGCTCAGATAAACTGACATACTTCACTTTTCTCAAACAAAGGTTGAGCACTGATTTTGTTCCATTATTGTAGAGCATAACAGTAAAAGTTTCTGGACTTATAATCTGTAAGTCTGTAAATTCAAACAAGACTTTTTCCCCCATGAAAGACTGTTTTAACAAAGCTTTATTTTTCTTTAATCCTTCCTGCATTTCTTTAAGTTAGGTATTCAATAAACGTTCATTCTAATCTTTAAGTTATAAAACTTGCCAGAAAACTGAACCATATCCACAACTAATTTCTATCCGAATACCCCTCTACTATACAAAATGGTTTCCTGAAGTCATCAAGCAATAATCATTTCTGACAACTAAATAATCTTAAAGTGTTACTCATAATAACAAGCTATGTCACATTTAACTTCTCAAAACAGCTTACTTTTGCCATAAAGTACATAATTGCCGCACATGCAATCATGCCTCAATGTTTGTGTCACGTAAGAATACAAATATTGTGTGAATTTCAAGTACTGGCAAAAATAGGGTGAAGTCCACTAAAATTGTTTTGGTTTCTACAGTACTTTGAACGAACATGTGATCATCAAAACTGTTACATATTTTCTAAAAAATATTATATTGTTCTGAAAAGTGAAGTACTGGTGAACTAAGGCTGGCTAGTCAAATAAGCTTCTTAAATTTCAAAAGAATATCAAACAGGGCAAACAAACACTGACCAACAGAAATCTTGATAACATGTGTCACATGTTGTGGTTTCAAATCTGAATACCCATTCTTGAGTCTATCTGCCACAAACTGTGAACACATTTCAGATATATATATTTTCTAAATTAATTTTTCACAGGTCATTCATCCCATACAATTTTCTAACAGTAGAGTAAACAACTTCATACATAAAATACACTGAAATGACCACATTTTGGAGCACTCTACTCATCTCACATCCACCATGCCAATTGTTAAAATAACATAAACACCAGTCCAAAATCATTTGTCAATAACACCTCAAATGGAAATGATATTGAGTTCTCTATTCCACTATAATATAGTACTATATACAGCCATACATTCAGACTCTAAATTGTCTCTTACTTTATCTTAGTGTTGAAGTTAAAACTTTCAAATTGAGAAAAAAGTTACATCTTTCCATAATAATTACCCAGTAATATCAATTTCCACATTAACAAACTTTAAATTTCTCATGATATCAATACATAGATACCTTATTCTGTGAAAGTCACTTGTCATTTTCACATTATGTTATTGTTATAAACTAGAAAATATTTCAAATATAGTTATATTTTATCAGACTATGAGAGATGACTAGATCATCATCAATTTGAAAATTTTAATGATACAGAACTCATTGTAACTTCCAATCTAGTATAATGTATCCTTAAAGTAAATTCTAATATTATAGCTTTAACTTTTTAACAGACTTTTACCATTACAATTGCTCCATCCGAAATGTTTAAGAATTATCATTTGTATAAGTGACTAGATTTAAATTTTCATCGTAAATCAGTGAAATGTCAAAAGCTAATGGACAGGACAATGGTATTATCATGTTGTATTTTATCAACAACAATGAAACATCAGTTGTAAATTATAAGATTTTAGATGAAAAAATATATATTGGGAGTCAACATGATTGTTTCTTAATGAACCTGACAAATTTTCAAATTGATTCCTTATTTCCAAATATGTGTACATGTAGATAGATACTGTCTATATTGCATTTTGTATATAAAACAGTAAGAATCAAGAAAGAAGGAAAACTAGAAGATTATAGTATAATGTTAACTTTAAGTTAACATAAAAACAACTGTAGTTCTATAAGCTGTATATACATCACTTTAATCAACATCAACCCATTCAAATATGACTTCACACTGTATTTTACAAAGTTCACCTTTATAGTGCGATAGAATAAATTTCACCCAAGAAAATAAATAAATACATCATATTGTGTCAAAATCAAACTAACCACCTTTAGAAGGAAGTTCAGTTAAAATAAAAATTATGAAGTAGCCCGAAGAGAGAAATGCAAGTTTATTTACACTGTATGTACCTTGGATAAAATAAACGTTGTACATTACATTTATACAGAGGTAATTAAACAGTTTTTATACCCATTACGATGTTAACGAACGAGAACACGTGAGCATCAATCACAAACTGTATGTCAGGTAATGACAGATTATAACCTAAAATATCCCACAAAGAAAGGGTAAAATTTAATTGTGACAATCTTGTCTACCAGCCCAAAATTTCTCTCGTTTATTCAATCTGTGTACAGGAAATAATCATTGATATATTATCATAAAACTATCAGTCACATTAAGTCACTACAAGTCTTACAACCCAGCCCTAGCACACCCAACTCCTTATCCCCTTGTTACTGTACATTCAAGATTTTGCTTTTCACTAATACAAATATGCAAGTTCTATTTAGGAAATAGATATCAATTCTGAGTACATTGTTGTAGAATAATGCACGGTTTGAGTTCAAATGCGTATTAATATAATCACGAAGGCCGATAGGCCTGAGTGATGATTAATTACAAAGCATTTGAATGAAAAACGTGCATTATTATACAATAATGCACGAAGAATTAATATCTATTTCCATTCTAACACGTCAAGAAAAATATAATTATTATTATAAAGTTGGACTTTATGTTTGGTGGTTAAATTTGTTTTCGCCTCAGAGTTTCCAATAGAAACGTTCTTTAAAGGCTGTTCCAGTGGGTTGATAAAAACTGTCGTTAAATCTACCGTGTGTAGAAACATTTTGAGAATAACGAATTTTGAAAATGTTAATAAAACTTTGATTGTTTATTTTATTTCACTCTATAATTTTTCAAGTGAAATACAAATAATTAAAAGTGAAATAAATGTAAAACTTAACTCGTTTGCGACATTAAAATAGCGTACTTGATTTGTTTGTTTTGCACGTGCTGTTTGGCGCTGCATTGTGACGTCACATAAACAACACTTTAAACGTCTGTACAGCGTTAACGACTGAATTAAAGATACTGGTGTTCGGATTCATTTTCTTAGATAGACCATTTTCTTTCATTCTAGATAGTTTTCACAACAAAATTCGACAAAAAATTGTTTTTTATTTATCAGATTTTTCAAACAAAATGGCGCTTTCAATGTGAAAATATACAGGGAGATAATAAGAACGGCGAGTGCATTGTTGTAGAATAATGCACGCTTCGGGCCTTTTTTTGCTTATATAGAAAAATTTCTGATAGTGTTAGAATAACTATACTATAAAAAATCTATTTTAAAATAAACCTATCAATAATGACAATCCATAAAAGATGTCTTTGTTTTAATTTTCCTCACATAATATTACAAAAGCAATTAAATTAAACTATCTTCACAGAATCTTATTCTAAATAAGATGAATAAAAGCTCAAAAAGAAAATTAGAAACTAATTATACAAAAATTGTCCAAATAATGAAACTTGTTGTATTATCAACATTATTAAAGTCATACAATTTTAATATCACAGGAGCTTGATATTCAGTCAATGAAAATCAAATACATGTATGTACTCCCTATATATAAAGTAACATGTGTAATGGTCAGTGAAACCTTGTAATTATATATTATATAGGGTGTAGTCATATCTGACTTTAACTCCTGTGCCTTAACATATCAATACAGTGCAAGTCCTGTCTGGTCTAGTTCAATGAAACTCAGTAAAATTTAGTGGGAAAAGTGATCTAGGCAAGTAATCAAAATTGCACAAAAACCAACACAACTATAAATATTGCTTGCATCTTTCTATGGCATCTTAAGTTTAGTACTAACATCATATTTATAGTGTAATTAGTGAAACAATAACTGTTTTGCCCGACCCTTCCTCCCCCTTCACATTAGTTTTCTAAGTATTAAAAAGTTGACACTGATGTGATTGTATGAATAAATAAATATCATATAAACAACAATATAATGTACAAAAATCTGTAATTACCTTCTCATTATCTGTAAGTTTGTCTGTCTCTAGAATTGTTTTACAGTCCAGAATATTGCTGTGACCATTTATAAGTTGCCCCCCTTTTAATTCATTCACACAGATTTCGTCTCCTTTGCTCAAATCTCCTTCAATCCAATTTGCTGGGAGTTGTTCCCCCTTTTTCCATTCTTCAGCAAGTCTAAAATATTGATGATGACTCTCCGTGTTCGAAACAGAGTCGACAGAATTTGGTCCCTTAACAATTAAGTTGAGAGGAGTGGAGGAATCATCTTTATTAACACTATTCAGCAATGTTAGTGATTTCTTCTTTTCAAGCTGATTTTTTGCAGCTTGAAATGCATCACTTTGTAACACACGGTTTAAAGTCTGGAAGCGTTGAAATGCTATGCTAGAAATATGGCTGTTTTCTGGAACATTTTCTGCATTTGATGACGATGATGATGATGATAATGATGGAATGTTTAAATCTTCAGGTTTGCTGTGATTTTCTGGACAGCTTTTACTAAAATCCATAATGTGAGGATCTGTTTTCTGTGGAACACGCACTGTGTGAGCACTTTTCCTGCATTTGGCACGCTCCATGATGCGATTGTGTACTTGTCCCAGCACTTCCTGTTGTGCTTGCATTTTACGACTAGATTCATTCTTAATTTTGGCTTCTATTTCAAGTCCTTTATGTACACTTGAACTCTGACTTTGTTCTCTTGCAAGAGGTGATCTATCTCTGTAAGTCTGACCTCTTGATGGGGATGGACTATGTCCCTGACTTCTTGACGGTGAAGGGCTGTGACTTTTCACAGGCTGACTAGGGTGTGTTATTTGACTAGTAGGGAGATGAATTTGAGAAGGTAATGTCACTAGGCCAGGGTATCCAACAGTTAGCTGACCTTGACCTGTATTTATAGCAATTTGACCTTGTTGAATGTTATCTTGAGGTTCCTGTTTTATATTGACTAGAAGAGGGTTTATAGCACCTTGTAATGCAGCACCAATCCCTAAATTTGTCATAGTTGACATATAGTTGATAAAATTGGCTTGAAATAATTGTGAAGCAACGTCCTGTTGTATAGATGTTGCCCCGGTAACAGCAACAGTTGCCAAGTTACCTGGCTGTAAGGAAGAAGTGTTTGTTTGTATATTTATGGCACTTTGTTGTTGACTAGAAGACTGACTAGAACCAGTATCCGGGCAAGATTGTGAGAGAGAATCCCTGGAGGGTGAGGAAGTTGGCAAGGTACCAAGCACATAATGATAGTTTGTTGGAAGATCATTATTACTGGCATTTGAGACAGACTGATTTGAACCTCCATTTTGCTGAGTGTGAGATCTGTCTGGTGATGGAGTTGTTGACTTTGGAGCAAGCTTTTTCGGTGTACGTGGAATGTTAGCTGCCCGAAATTTGAAGCCAGATGAAAGATCCATGACAGCATTATCTTTGTTTCCCGCAGCTGCAGCATTTGCTGCAAGCTGTGAATTAACCTTGAAGTCACAATCTTTACCATTAAGTTGATCATGGCTTCCAAGCTCTTCAACAAACCAGAAGTTGACAAATCCAAGCCTCTGAGTCAGTTTGATGCGATAAGAACATCTATGGCCTCGCATTTTTGTTTTATCACAACCTGAAATGTAAGAAATATTTTCAATCATTTTATATAATGTCATATAAATGTGGTTAATAACTTAAAATACTTGGTCTTCATTATACTTTATATTTTGATTTTCAAGAATATAGATGTTTAATAAAAGCATTAAATGCAATGTTATAACTAACATCATGGTGAATTTTATCAATTTGAGCACTTCACATGTCCACTCCTTGTGGTGTTTCCCTCTACACAATATTGTTTACTAATAATTCATCACTGAATTACCTTCTGCAGATTTCATGATTTTGAGGCTTTCAAGTGAACCAAGTCAAATCCTTTTAATATCATACAATAAGCTGTTTCTTGAATAAGGACTAAAATTATATGCAATAACACTTTGATGAACAATAAAAAAAAGATAAGAACAAAAAATAAATTAAATGAACATGCCTCAAGATAGAATCAACAAATTGATAGGGTTTAAATTTAAGAAGCAATATGAAGTAATTTATAATCTCATAATCTGATTTAGGGAAGTTGTGATATTAAAATTGCACATAAATCAGAGTAACCAAATTTCTTACATGGTTTTGTTTTAAAATTGTCCATTATCAATCAAAGTTAAAATTGGCTGGTCAGAACACACTGTTGTGAAGATTGTAGCTTGTATTCTAGTTGAATATTTATCTTTAGTTATAGCAGTCTCTGGGTTAAAGTAAAAAGGAAAGTGTGGGTTGTGCTTTAAATGCTAATATTGTTAGAAAAAAGAGAGAAGATAGTTGAGACAGCTGCTTTAACATGTTTCCTTATCTTTCCCTCGTCTGTGTATCCGCTTATTACAAGCTTTAACAAAAACTTACACAACTTGTTTACAATGAAATAAAGTGACAGCATTGTTTTATCATTCTATTTTAGCCGCAGGCAATTTTTACCCATGTTAAATATTTAAATGAATCTCCGTATTGTTTTACATATTAGTCTGAATATCATAAATTCACCCTACTTCCTCCCCGTTTTTACTCATTTATAAACTGTTGCTATTACCGTTGAAAATTTCAATTAATGCACTTAGTTAAAGTCAAGTTAATCCCATGAAAAAAATTCAATTTTATGAAAATTTTAACATTCCGCAAATTAAATACCATTAAAACTGTATAGCATGTATGAATTGACTTAAAGTCAAGAAACTGTTAAATCTCTAAATATTCTACGGAGATATAACATAATTTCATAAAGCTGTTAAAAAGGTTTTCAATTAACAAATAAACAATACAAGGAAAAAGTGAAAATTGATAAAACTAAGTCACTCCCTTGAATTCCAATTTCTTTCAACTTTAGTTAAGACTTTGATTTTATCTGCAGGCATGTTTTTAAAAGAAAAAGATCAAGGTTTCTTACCTGGAAGACATATTCCATATCCTCCACATGCTCGTTTACATGCTGATGTGCCACTGCAATACAGCGTCTCCCGGGCAACCACGATCTGCTTGGCATTCTTTGCTCTGCCTGCTCTTATACTACCATTGGTCAGAACCATTCGGCCAAATTCTGTGTAAGCAAACTGGTCGTCAAGGAAAGTCTCACCTTTGGTCATATCAACATAAATTTTATGGACCTCTCTACCTTTTCTCAGCATGCACTTTCTATTGAAAGTTGGTAAAGAATCTAAGTAGTCTTTGAGAGTGCCACATGGAACCATTGTTCCTTTGTATGGAGCTTTTGGTTTCTCTGCTTGACTTGGCATTATGTTATTTGATGCCATTGTTGGACTTTCTGCAGAAGAATTGCTTAAATCTGCTGCTACAGCATCATCAAGAATTTCAGAAATGACTGGAAGTTTTATATTTAAAGCATCTGGAACACAAAGATCTTCTTTACAAGTTGGAAGACTTGAATCAAAAGATTCTTTGTCACTTGGAAGCTTGTCTTTTCTCTTCACCTCTTTGTCAGACTCTTTGACATCTGTTTCTTTATTTTCTTCCATCTCTGTTGTGTTAATAACTAATTTCTCTGAAAGATCTCTATTTTGTAAGTCATGATTAGTGTCATTTCTAGTTTCTTTAGCATCATTAGAATTCTCTTCAATGATGTCGGACTCCTCAGCACTATGCTCATTTTCCTCAACAACTGATACAGGTAATGTTAGGTTTATGCTCTGGCAAACTGCAACCTTTTCCAATTTACTTTCAATATCATTGTTGCTCACATCATTATTATTATCTTCAATGTAAGTTTTTTCATCCAAATCTATTTTTAGATCAGGCTCTGATCCCTCATCTGAATCCATATCCACATTTGAATCTTTCACACCAGCATTGTTTTTCCTGGAAGTTTTAACTGGAAATGGCTCCTGAGTAAAACCAGAGGATTTTTTCATTTTTTATTATTGATAGAGACAATCAAATTTCTTTGTTAATATCAACTTTATAACTGTTTATAAAACAAATTATTCTCAAGCTGATTTAAAATAGTATTTTCATTAAAAAAGAAATTTTAATAAAGTTCAAACTTCTAATCTCAATCTTTAAATATTTCTCTTTCAATGTAACAAAACTTAAATGAAAATTTCCTAATCTTACTTTACGAATATCAATGAAAAAAGCATAGCCTGTTGTTGGCAAGAGTACCAAAGAATAGGTATTGTGGTAACATTAAACCAAAGTCGTAACTGGGTAAAAAGCATGCATTAATCGGGTATAAAACATCCGCCATCAAACCATTAAACTCTAATCAATTTCGAAGCAATCACTGAGGTCTTTATGTTAAGCCCTTGACTCTTATGGGTAAAGATTTCCATATATGGAAACTGATTAAATTCAAAGTGTGATTTTTAATAAATGTAATCTTCTGGGTGACTGGTAAAATTTGAATAATTTTTGTTATAAATGCTCAAGAAAAAATCTCAAAATTTCATCTGGAAGAAAAGGGCTCAGTTTCAATAAAAGTTTGATGGGTTTAACTGAAAACAATAAGAGAGGAGCAAATCACCAGGAAATTGATAAAGGATATTTTTATTCATTCAATATAAGACAAAATACAATAAATAACAAACAATTTACAAAGCATTCCTTAAACTATCCATACACCAAACCGTATTCTTCCTAATAAGGAAATAGTGCACTTTATAAAAAAATATAGCAAACTATTCCAGTGCATTTTGTTTAGGTCAAATACGGTTCTCAAAGAAAAAATGAAGAAAAAATATTGTAAAAGATAGAAGCAATAATGGTATGGATAAACATCGAAAATTCAATGACCACCCATTGTTGCTCAACAATCTTTTTAATAAAATACATCCCAGCATTCTTAATGAATTCATGACCACATTCCATACCTGTATAACAACTATACCCGGGATACAAGTCACTGAGGGCCGACATTCAAGTCAGTTTAACAATTCTCATCACCATATTTAATTTTACAGCTATTTATAAACAATTAAAAGGAAAAATGAAAAAAAAGTGCATTATTAAAAAAGTACCGGTAATTAAGTCACAAAGTACTATATAAAAAGGAAATTTACATGATCAAATTGCTAAATTTTCATTATTCAATTAAAATATGTGATGTGAACTTGTGTGTCAGCCCCCTGAAGAAATGAGAACAAGATGCAAGCAATATTGTACAGTAATATTTCAGTCACCTATAAACAACACAGGACATGTTTTACCCTGCCAATAAAGCTAACAGGTACATTCATGCATTCATTCCCAAACAGCTATTACATTATTCAATCCTTACATATAATTAAATAGGTATAGAGCAATAAAAACTGTCAAAATTAAAATGAAATTTATAATGAAATCATTTAAGTATTTTACTGTTAAAGATATACACAGCTCAAATTTGACTAAGAAAATACTGATAATTGAAACAAAGTCGCTTTGTAAACATGAAATAAACATGTTTTGACTTCACACATGTTTAAGATTCTAGTGGTCACAAAATGAATATATTATGTCATTGAAAAAGCTGGCAGTTTTTTTAAGAAAAGACAAACTTCAGTTGACCTGTAATACAGAACGCAGCTTCCCATACATATATAGTTTATTCGTTCTTTTATTCAAAGTAGACATCTCATAGACTTCAATAAATTTCTGTGATTAAAATATTGTACTCCAGGATGAGCATAGTATATCTTTAATATATACATGAAATAAGCTTTTCATTTGACCCCCCACTCAAACCTTATTCCCTCCCTTCCAAAAAAAAAAAAAAAAAAAAAAAATTAAAAGAGAATTCACAGATGACAATAATTATGATGTACCTATATGCACTAAAGCATTTTTATATATGGAAATTTAATATCTAGCCATTTATAGATAATTGCTATTATGGTTTCAACAATTTATTATTGTCAGTAATATTTGCAATCTACATATTTATTAACAAGACTTTTCTCAGACAGCATGCTCCACAGTTATTATGGTTAAAGGGGATCTAATTCTGCAAGAGTACAGGGTACATTTACCTGTCCTGGAATAAATACATATTACCATCATATTATGAGACAAGCTAATGTACTAGGTATTTAATTATAATCTTTGATAGTATTGAAATAAATTGATTTAAATATCTATATTTAGTAAAGAGGTGCTTTATGCATCCAAATTTTAATGTTTGATGATACATGTACATTAGTTTTGTGCTATTAAGAAATTTTAAACTCTATAAAGAGAGGTCAGAGCTATGGAGACAAAGAGATCTTAATCTCTAAGTAACTTTGACCTTCTGTGTTGTGGCCTGGCACTTAATTTTTACTGTTGGACATTTGTGCCAGGTGATTTCAAAATTATCAACGAGTAACCTTTAAGCAAATGCCGAACATACATCATTTCATACTTGTGAACATTTTATGCCAAGTATTTTAAAAATCCTTCAAGAATTGACAAAGTTATGGACAGGCCACAAAAAAGGACTCTTTTTTTATTATCTGTGACCTTGACCTACTGACCTTGATCTTGCAGGTTGCACGTGTGATTTGATGGTAAGCACTTCTCCCAAGTAGATTCACTATCCATTCATGAATGACAAAATGATTGACTGAACTACAAGTTAAGTTTTCAACACACAATTACAAAACTTAATTTTGCTGGGATAAAAACAAAATATGCTGTTGTAACATTTGCACCTATAAAACTATCCCAAATTTTATGATATGGAAACATACCATGGACTATTAAATGAACATCAAGTTAAAAGTGTCCATCAAAAGTCAAGCCATTCATTTCTGTAGTAGCTAATTATGAAGTTTTACTAAAATTAATTTGCTGTTAGAGATGTCATATTAAGTAATTTATCACTTAATTCCATAAATACAAATTATTTTCCTTTGTTCATAGCTTTTATGTACATGTAAATCAAAATTACCTTGAAAAATACATTAAACATACCTATATTAACTTTTATTTAAGTCCATAATACATGTCAATCTACATTATTATTAGTTTATAATTTTCCTAAAGAAAAAATATTTCATTTCTATATACATGTAATCTTATTGCAAGTCATAATTTGCTTCCATTTCTAAAATGCTGCCCTTCTAAAAAACTGTAAATATTATTATAAACAAAAAAACAAATTTCAAATAAATAAATCATTTCCTGAGTCTTCAAATTTGTTCATTATTTCAAGACATAATTTTGTCCTTGACTGAACTTGTATTATGGTAATTTCTAGTGATTCAGAATCACTTGGACTTGCTAAGTATCTGCGGGTATGTGGGATCAATAGTCTCTGCCTAAATCCCATCTTGATGCTAAATTAGCAAATACCAGGCAATTCCAAACCCGAGTACAGACTTTTGGATCAATATCGCAATATTTTTCTCTATTACCGTGGCAACCGATTCCAAGATTCTTGGAGGATTTTCTTTAAACAGAATAATGGGGTGGAAGAGTGAATTCAGACACACGATATTAAGTGAGGCTTGTTACTGCAAATGGACGCCTGTGACTTTTTCATTGCTTTTATCCAGAAATCTGGGAAGGCTTAAATGATGTAAAAATCCATATGAATGTTAACTGAATCTAACAGTTACTATGGTAACGCTGGGTAGTGAACAATTTGAGGCTTCTAATTTAATGGAATTTCGCTGAGAAAATCCATCCTTTTAGAAAGCATTGCTATTTTTAATTGGTAAAAAAGTCTCCAGAGTTCAATTTATAACAAGATTAACACAGTGACTGACAAAAACATCCCTTTAACACTTGAACACTTGAACATATTTATAGATGTTGATCATTTTTCATATTTATGATTTATATTTTGTTTTTAATATCTAATACTTTTACTTTAGATTGAATCTAACACAGAACGCTCTATAGATGGATTATTTAGGAAGTTAAAACAAATAGCAAATTTTTTAATGAAGTACAGACAAAATGAAGGGAAGGTTCAATATAATTATAATGTACATTACAGTATGAATGGTACAAAAAAAGTTTATATAAACAATTCTCATTTATTGTCCCTAACTGAAATAAACATCCCCCAGCACATATGACTGTGAGCCCTGAATTTCTGTTACTGTTCTGTTTTGTATAAGACTCATTTCAAGCGCCCTTATAAACTTTTTTAAACAAACTTTGTATCTTTTTTATCCATTGAAAGGAACAACAAAATTCTTTTTATTTATACAGGCACATGTGGGTAATTAATTATATATTCAGTGTAGCATCCATTAAAACAACTGCGTGACACAAAGTTACTTTTATTATACCCGATCCATCATCCTGTAAAACATAGTACCCTTATAATTTATTCATTGTTTTAATTCATGTTACAATTCACTCTATATATCTGGTGAGTATATATATATATATATATAGATATATACTATATATATAGATATAAGTGGGCATCATATTCTAATGTGTACATATTACATGAAGAAGTTTTAAAAAATGCATTCACATGAAACTATCACATTAATTCAATGTAGCTATTCTCTTTTTTTTGTTCAAACAGTTGCATGATACATTTTGCATTTAAACCATCGTAACCTTCTTAATTTCTTAAATAGACTTGTTTACCCTACAATTTTAAAAACATTATCAATATACAGATGAAAATTTAGTCAGCCAATAGTCACTAAGTCTGTACATATTGGTTCTTAGCTAATCACCTTCAGTTTCAACAGAGTAAAGGATTTAACATTTTTTTAGCATTAAGTCAGGCATATTGAGTACAGTGCCAGGCAAGTATGCATGCAAATACTGTACATGTATACATACGTACTATTTGACCAGGGTCTATACTTTTGGCAAGACCAAATATATATTAGGTTTTTCCATAAAAAATATGTCAGACTGATCAGTGTTTATCTAGATCTGACTAGTATAACCGATA